GGTCACGTGCACTACGGCCTGGCATGCCGTGGCATTTCTCTGCTCAGTCATTATATTCATGTCCTGCTAGATGGGGACGTCTCAGGTGCATCCTGCTCCGAGTCTAGCATCCGTAGTTCATTACCATGTAAGAGGACAGTTAATTCTTGCTAATTACATTTGATTGGGAAAACCCCTGTAGAGCATCCAATTAAAACAAGGCCTGGAAAATAGTTTTTAACCTCCCACTGAGCTCTGTGCGAGTGCGCTCAAGCGTTCACGTCGTGTGTGTAGGAAGACGTGATTAATAGCAAGAATAAATAATAGGGTTCAAGCTTGAGAAGAATACACACACACACACACACACACACACACGTCAGCATAAACTGGCTACAAGTAGAAAATTGGCTATTAAAAACATTCAGATCAAAACGGAACACATTAGAGCTCATGTCACCGTCCAATGCAGACTAGATACAGTGGAACACCTGCTTTTAATTTGAGGTTGGTTCTACATCAAATAATTCACTGGTAACAGTGGGAAAAGCGATCCAATGCACAAAACTGAAATCTGTGAAAAAAGAAACGCACTCAAATAACACAAGAACACAAAAAGGCTTCAATCAGCAGCTTTTCTGGATTTAAACACGTGTCAAGCTTGTTCAAGAAGTTCATGCCGATCTGTATACGTCATAACATAAAACCATAATATAAAACATAATGGTTGCACTATTGATAGAGCATTGATCATGTGATCCTCCTAACACAATGACATAAAGTGTTTCACACCGAAACGATTTGTTTTTGAGGGTAGATGCCAAAGCTTGTAATAATCTGGGAGTAGCCTGTTAAATCAGTGGTTCTTAACATTTTTGGTGTCATGGACCCCAAATTGATATTGACATCAGGTTGATAAGATTGTTATTCCATAGCATACCATATTCAAATTGAGTGATTTGCCAAACCAGCTGTCCAAAAGCCAAATATATTCAGTTTATTATTATTCAGACAAATAAAACCAGCGAATATTCACATTTGAGGGAGCTACCAATTAGGAAAACAAATTAGTAGTAGATAAAATGTTCTTTCTATGGGTTCTTTTTTAAATCAACCATAAATCAGATGAAAGCAGAATTAATATGTTTGCAGTTTTCAATTAATGTCCCTAATTTTCCATTTTTCCTGAGAAAAGACGTGGCTTTTCAGCATTTCTTTTGGCATTATTTGTCAATACCTAGGTTACATTTTTGATGAACAGCTGATTTGCATATCCCACATGCCAGCTCACTCTAACACACAAAACACACAAACACACACAACCACACACATATGCAACTAGGATACAAACTGTGGATGCTAGCCACTCATACAGACAGCACCTGTCAGCTGGTGTTCTGGGACAGCCAAGGGCTTGTTTGTTTGTTTCTCTCTCTCTCTCTCTCTCTCTCTCTATCTCTGTGTGTGTGTGTGTGTGTGTGTGTACCTCTATCTAAGGTCTCTCTCTTTTTCCCTCAACGCCCCCTCACCTCTCCACCTGCTGTTCCTTCCTTCACTCCATCCCGCCTCTCTGTCTGTCTCACTTCATACCAACCATCATACCACCATCCATTAGATCTCCCTCTCTCTCTCTCTCTCTCTCTCTCTCTGCACCTGTGACTGAAAAACAGACTCGCTCAGTCTTTCTCTGCCTTCCTGCTCATTACAGCCTCCAGGCAGCCACTCCATCACAGAGAAAAGGCAGAGATAAGCTACAAGAGTACACCTGTGCCTGGTATGAATGCCAAATCCAGAGTCAGTGACAGCCAATTCCAGGCCAAATAATGGAATCAGCGAACCTCAGCTTCATACAAATCAACCTGACAGCTTTATCTCCCACTCCCAATTTCAAAGCACGTTACAAACCTCATTATCAAATGAGAAAAGCAATCACTAAAAAAAAAAAAAGAGAAAAATGTTGACACTGCTACAATGGTGCTCGCGAGGGATTAAGTTTACAAAGCTCATTTACAGATGGAACAGGTGGGAGAAAATAAGCAACATATTTTCATTTCATCAGCAAAGTGCTGCGAAGTCTTATCTGACAAAAGGAATATAAATCTGTTTTATCAAGCACTACATGCAGCATTAATATGCCTTATGTGAGGAGCAACTCCTCAATTAATGATCAGAATAAAGATGGCTGAATCAATTAATTCGCTGTGTAAATATAAATCGATATATTATCAAATGTACATGTCAAATCAAATCAGGTTTATTTGAAATGTATAGTTGAAATTTAGGTCGACAATATCAATGATACACAATGCAGCTGAAGCTCTCTAAGGCAAAGAAATGGAACAACCTCCAGAGACTTTCCAAACGTTGGGGGTAAAATAACAGCCGAAGGGGAAAAGTTGTAATCACACAATAGCAATTACAGAAATGGAACAGAGCGTTGGTATATTTCCTTTTACTCATCAAACATCAGAGCACCTTAGAGAGAAATCTGTGTGAGATAACCAGAGCTGTGCCTGACCATTAGCCTTTCTCTCATTGTTTATTATGGATTACTGAATTTATCATTAAAAATCCAGAATCTATAAATATGAAAATGTTGTTAATTTCTACTTGTAGAAGTTGCACAGTTGACAGATATGACTTGGAACAAGAAGAAAAACATATTTTTGAGTGGAGAGGAACTTTAAGTTAAGTCAAACTAATTCAAAAAGTCAGTTGCAGTAGTTAACATGGCTAACTGTGGAGCCACGTTTTGTGTTCTTTGTGAACTTGGACTTGAAAATAAATATTAAAGGAATTGTTTGACATCTTTGTAAATCCACATTTTCTTGCCCAGACTTAAACAACAATATCAATATCACTCTTACCCAGCAGCTGGTTTGCTTAGGTTGGAGTGGAGATTGGAAACTAGCCTGGCTCTGTCCAAAAGTTAACAAAATCCACCTTGCAGCACTTCTTAAAGTCATTAATCAACATGTTATATCGTTAGTTTCATATTTAACTGACAGATAGTTGTGTAGATTTTCTCATCTAACACACAAGGCAATAGGTATATTTCCCAAACTGTCAAACTGTTTCTTTAAAGCTGAATAAAAGCAGGTTTTTTTTTGCCTCAGTGGTATCAGGATGAGTTGATCAGAGAGATCAGCGGTCAAAGCTACTCTGGCTAATGTGAAATAAAGACAGCAGGAGTTATTTCCTCCTGCCTGAGCTTTATTATCTGTAAGTATTAATGACAGAGAGCTGGGGAGAGAGATGATGTGTGTGTGAGTGTGTGTGTGTGTGTGTGTGTGTGCGTCTCTGTGTGATAACGTTTGTGTCCAGTATGTAATTATAGATTTAGTAAACCCGGGGCTTAGTGCGACTCAATCAACCTCTGATTTGTTGGGTGGGTGGATACTGATGATAATGAGATGTGTGTGGTCGTGATGTCCGTGTGTGTGTGTGCTCCACCTTTTTGTACTGTATCACAAGAGTACGTGTGTCACTGCCATAATACATATGCATGGGTGTGTGTGTGTGCATGTGCATGTGTGCTAGTTCATTAGAAAGGTTTTCGCTGATGAAGGCAATTCATACCATGATAAAAAAGTCCAGACTCCCATGGTTCATTTCTAGTGATGATGTATAGATTTTTGTCTCAATACACAAAGAGGATTATGGGATTTATATCTATCGTAACAGTGTTTCAAATTGTAAAACACTAGAGAAATAACTGAAGAAATAGAAAAACTGCCAACTATGCCTCTATACCCTCAAAAAAATGTAGCACAGTCAAGTGAAACATCTACACAAGATGTCTACAATCTGCCTTCACATTGCTCTAAGCATCTTAATTTATTATTTCAACTTCTGTGTTCTTAGAAATGTTAAATCTTCCAAAGAAATCTTTGAAAGCTGTGGTGAGTACCCGAGCTGCTGTGTGCATTTCTGTAGACATGTGCTTATACGTGTCCGACTGCATGAATCTCTGCTAATAGCTCCGCTGTGAGTCTATAAGGTTGAAATACCACAGTGTAAATCGTTGACATTAAATCCATTTTATGTTGCGGACTGACCCGGAAAAACAAAATTATGGCTACACTTGCTCTCCCGCTAATTGGAATGAGACTGGAGATGCATTTATTTACTGAATATAAAATAGTGCTTTCCAGCTTCGAGCCCCAATCAAGGTCTCAGCTCCCCTATTAATTACACTAATCAATGATGTGCAAATCCTCCATTATCGGGCATACAGTATGTACAGGCCATAACAACAAACACAGCGAGCCATGTGGATAAACAAATCTACCAAATAGGTCATCGGAAAAGGTGATTAAGATAGAAAGTGATCAAAATAGAAAAGTCACATTTCAAGCTCACTCATGCAGATTCATAAGACTTAATAAAGATATAATGAGCTGGAGTTTACAGCACAGAATAGAAGCAGGATAACGGTGGTTTAAAATGACCCAAGAGCTCAAAAACAATGTACTCAAAGTCAGAGACACAAGGGAAAACCCTCTTTGTGTCCATTTGGATTCACTTTGAACAGTAATAAGCATTAAAAACATGTTATCCCAGAGCACAGATATCTCCTTTACCAATTACTGAACAGATGGAGCAGAAAAGTCTGCAAACATCTGCTCCAGCCCGATATGTGCCGACTGTTGCCTGGCTAACATTAGCTTGCTGGCCACATGACAGGGACAGACTCGATAAAGTAAAATGGCCCCCTGCTGCGTCCTTTATTCTCAAAACCACTGTCACCAACCACAGCACAAGAGCCCAGATGACTTTCTAGAGTCTTCTTTTTTCATTCTGTCACTCGTGGATGTGAACGTTAAATGTAGAGAGAGATAACCAGAGGCAGCTAGCCACACCTGAAATCGGTAGACTCCTGCCGTCACAACAGTTCGGTAAACTTACAGGACTGTTGTGACTCAAGACAACTAATGTAGCCAGCCAGCTATCTTCTATGTTACTCTAGACACATTTTTAACAGTACTTGGAAATGATGCGATAGTGGGAACATTATAACTCACCAAGGCCGGGCGGGTTCTCAGGGCACGGTGGCAGTGGTTTCGGGGAAGGTGTCTGATTGGTCTCGGGCTGCACACTCGGCACCAGCTGCTCGCCTGTGGCCAGGTAGCTGGCTAACGTTGCGTTTGGCCTGGAAAGGTTGTAATAGTAAAAATGATGTCCATTCCCTGCTGCTCCGCTGACGTTATTCCTGGATCCGTTGCGACCGTTGTTGAAGCGGCTGAAGAGGTCGAAGCGCTGCGTGTAGACGTCGAAGTACAGGATCATCATGATGAGGAAGTGGAGCAGGCAGAGCAGCAGGACGCCTTTACAGATGCGCTCCAGAGTCCGGCCCAACATCAGCCGGGTCATGGCCGAGGAAGATGACCGTCCTGCGACGGCCAGCCACGACAACGCTGGCGCGGCTACAGGCATGCGCTCACCCAGACGGCCATATTGGCAATATCAGCTGCTATTAGATCTCTTAAAAGGACATGTGGTAAACTGACACTCGACTATCTGACTTCTCATGGGATCATTAATAAAGATGGGGAGGCTATGAGGTCAGCTTCACCTACAGTCTGAGTTGCCAGCTTGTTTCTGTTGTGTCCACAGATTCCCTGCATGACAAAAGTACTAAAATGTTTTGATCAGCATTAATCCCTGGGTGAGATGAACCTTGATCTAATGTACTTAACTACAGATATACCAAATGATAAATTCAGTGTAATCTAAGACATAAGGCCCCGATTTCAGATAAAACTTTGCTGATATGGGCATGACACTATCCAAGTGTCAAGTTGCTGCTGCAGCCATGTGGTATGCCAAAGTTAAAAGCCAGGCCAATTAGTCCAAGGACTGGCGTTTTTTAACCTCCGAATAATACCCAATCCCAGTGATGGCACAGAATTGGAAGCTGCCAACTAACATTCATCAGTATAGAGTAGAGGATCAGCTGATGTTTCAGTTGAGTTGTCCTCTTCTTATGGCATCAGGTCAGTCAGACTCACAGAATTTGTCGGTTGGTGATCAATCTCCAACACTCAGATACTCAAAATACTGTCTCCTTTGCTGGTAGTCTTAAACGTGGAATTTTGTCGGGCACCTGAAGGAAAAGAAAAGACAAAGACGATTTAATTACAGTGATTTATCAAATGTTTAACTAAAGCGATGGCTGTGTGCTGGTAAACAGTGTTAATTTTTTCAATGCTCCCTAGAACCAATGCAGAAGAAGTGCTATTAATCATAGCTGTGCATGCATTTTTTTTCAGTGCAGTAACTTATTGCATTACTCGCTGCATAAAATCAAACTGAACATTGATCTTCCTCTGGCAATTTAAGGGTATTCAGTGACCTTGTTCTTATTCGATATGGCTGGTTGAGTTGCAGTGAATTAAATTCACAAGTTCACTCTTGGTAGAAAAAGAAGGGCACGTGAGAATTTGTCACAAACAGAATCAACAACAAAAGCATCTACAAACGCAGACAAACTGAAAGTGTTGACTGGGGCTGTTCAGCCGAATTGACATGCCAAGTCAATTTTCCAGTCAAGCGGTTTAAAAAGCATTTATGATGGAATGAGACGGCAAGTGGGAATACAGAATGCAGTGAACGTACAAGCAAAGGGAGGGAAGGAGCGGGCACTTAGAGCTTCCCCACAGGCTATTCTTATTGTTGGTTTATGGCTTTTCCAATCAATGAGAGAAAAGAAGAAGATGAGGTTGAAGTAGACAATTAAAACCCTGACCCTACACCAGACTTTCTATTGCAAAACCAACAGTCAGAAAGCAAGAAAGAAAGAGAGGCAGTGATAAATATTGAAATACTAATGCTGGTAATTGGAAAAGGATGGATATCTAATGTCTAGTGGCAGCTCCGATTTGTTCCAGTGCTACTTAACGTCGCAGATATCCCCTGGGAAAAATCCTCGAATTTGGCAAATGTTTTTTTAGTATTTCTGGAAACTGGCTGTTCCATCAGCCAGACTCTCATAGTGAATGGGAGGAAGCGACATAAGCTTTTATTGACTTATTAACTTCAGACTGATTACTTAACTCATGCCTTTTATTATTCTATTCTATTTCATGTTTGTTCATATACATACTTGATCTGAATGTCGGTAAAATACTGTTAAATTGAGTTTGGTATAAAACATCAATTTTTGGGACCAAGAGAAATTTCACAGCTCCTTTTACTTATTATGTGGTCAGATAGATTTGGATTTAAATAAAAAATTGTGTGAATGTTACGATAAACGATGGGTATGTTCAAGTCAGTCGGTTTCATTTCTGTGTATGTAAAATAGCCAAAAACATTTGGTGATAAAACATTGTGTTCTTCTTTTTAATTTTTGATGGACTTGATGACTGATGATGGTTTTGACAATTTAAGACTATTTTGCAGCTGCTTGTCTCAAATTAGTTAATATTTTATTATAAGTATGGTATCAAAGAAGGAATCAACTGGTGTGGTAGCAAAAAAAATACTGAATACTAAATACAAATGATACCAAATGCAAATCCTAAATTGTTAAGGTCAGTCTCTATGTTGCTTCTTGAAGCAGGTAGGGTCAAAATATAGCAAATTGAAACATATGTTTGGTGACTGAGCTGATGTCGGCTTCCTGTTCAGAAAGTAGGCTGCCTCTCGCTGCGTTCTGACTTTTGTCTGTGGGCAGCAAAGTCAAGACTGCCAAGACCGAGACATAAGGGGTGTGTGTGTGTGTGTGTGTTTCTGTGTGCGTGTGTGTGAATGTCTGTGCAACTCGCAAGTTAATGAGATGGATTTCTGCTGACCGAAGGACCCGGAAGCCGCATGCCAGTCGCGCTAAAATGCTTGTGCAGGTCAGGATTTATTTCCCAGCCGTGTGGCTCTTCAGTGACTAAACAGGCTGGCATGTAATGTATCAGGGGTCAAACATGTGGTGAGGCAGTCAGACAGATAATCAAGAAGAAAATTCTTGCCCTACTTCAACTACAGAGCTCAGGGCCAAGCAGGTTGCCCTCGGTGTCCAACAGGTGTTAAACCATGTCATAGTGTAGCGTGGCAGTGCTATAAATCATCATCAAAAGAAAAAAAAACAAAAAGAAATAAATCCACAGATGGGATCGTGAACCTATTTTGCTCCCGATGAGCAGCTGCACGGGACTTATCAGAGATCAATGTAGATACAACGCGTGTCAGTGCTTTTTCTCTCATGTGGGGTATGAAAGCGCACAAGGACTAAATCCATCTGCACCTCTGCCTCTGTATTTGCTGACATTTTGCCCAACTGATTTTTCTGTAGTGCTCTTGGGATTTTATATTTTTTGTCTTGAAAAAGGTCAGCAGACCGAAACAAAAGAAAATAAAACGGTGCAGAGGAAATCACTGTTTTTCACTTGCTCCTGTCTCCCTTTATTTTCTTTCACTCCCTGGGATATCTCACAGGGATTGTATACAAGATGGTGCAGAGCGTTCACTTTCAACTTAATATGTAAATGTCAACCAGGGAGAAACAATAAAGTCAGGAAGCAGTCTGTGAAGTCTTTGAAGCTTGTAAGTCATGAAGAGATGAGGAGAACAGACCAAGGAGTGAGAAAAGTAAAGACGCGGCCTCACTGACAGAGAGAAATAGATCCTTTATGTAACCAGTTTATTCAAGGATCCCTGTAACTCCATTTTAACAGCAGCAATAACTTTCATAACAGTCCTCGATAACATCATGTCTGCCAAGGAACCCACAGAGAAGGTCTATGAAAATATGTGAAGTGGAATACAACTGCCCATTTCTATTTCCATTAAGTTTCAAAGCTGTTTCTAAATGACCAGACAAAAGAAGTCTGGACAGTCCAGATGTCCTGAGGACAAGATGATCTTATGTCATCTTGTCCTCAGGACATTAACAGAAAATGTGGCTAAAGTATAAAGATACAACTTAAACCAATCAAGGACACAATACTGAACGTCATGCCTTGTTCCATCACAATTAAATTAGAGGTTTGTCTCAATGGGCCATATCTTTGTAATTTATAAGGATTTCAGGCCCATACCACAGATAGTAGTGGGGGCACTAATCACTATGTAAAGCTTCAGAGAGTGCAGCCTCCATCACAGAGGTTAACAAGCGTGTTAACTCATTGTTCAATTGGTTGTGGATGAATTATAATACAGCATCGGAGACACTGTGAAAGAGGATGTAGTCAAAGTGAGCATCAAGAGGTCAGGGTGATATCTCAACAAGGTAAGCAATTAAAAATGAACATGTGAAAACATAATTAAAGGAACGGTTTCACATTTTGGGAAACCAATGATTTGGACAAAGGTTTAGACCACTTTCACGTCTGTCTGTTGAAAATGAAGCTCAAGCCGGTAGAAAGTTGGGTTAGCTTAGCATAAAGAATGGAAACAAGGGAAAACAGCCAGCTTGGCTTTGTCCAAACGTAAAAATCCTACCAGCACCTCTAAAGTTCACTAATTAACACATTATATCTTGTTTGTTTAATGCATACAATAACTCAAAAGTGTAAAAATTACAATTTGCCGTTTTATAGGAGTGTAGTTCCCATATTAAGTAATAATAGTGAGAGGTGTCAGGTTATTATGGCCTTGTTGTGCCTGCACGAATATGATCAGACGTAACTAGCCAGCTGGTAGCCAAACAGCCAGTGATTGTGGTGCATGAATGAAACCGCTGATGCCAATCAGCTAATTCTCTGCCTAACACAGTGTGTCATTGGCACTGAAATAACTGATTAACTAACAGACATAATATAAACCAATGACAATTTTGAGTTGTTTATGCAATAAAAATATTAAATGTTTGCCTGTTGCAGCTTCTGAAATATGATGATTTTCCTTTTGGTATCATTGCAATGTGAATATTATTTATCACTGTCGGCTCTAGTAACTTTTTGGCGTTTGTTAAACTTTTAACCTTCACTCTCAAAACTCTTTGCGTCTGATCTTTCTGATTTTCAGTACTGAAAAAGAAATGATGTTGACTATGTTAAGTGTGAAGTTCCAATTCTCTACAAAACTCTACAGAACTTGGTACAAAATAAAAGAGTAAGCAACACTTTAACCAGAATTCAAGATGTTGACTCACCCAAACTAAAGCTTTTAATAGAATATTAAAACATACAGGATCAGCTGACCTTAGAGAGATAGGAAAAAGACTGATGGAGATAAACATGAAACTTAACAGCCTGTCATTTCTATCCCATTTTCAGGAGGTAGAGTGAATATATTTTGATGGTAATGTCATTTTCTTGCTGTGATCATCTTACTCCTTACTTCTTGACAAACTACAAGCCAAATGAGCTCTTTGAACTCATAATTTAAATATGTGCTGGTGCCTTCACGAAACACTGTACTAACACACACGTACACTGCACACACATACTACAAATGTGGCTTTCTATTTGTACCGTGCTGCCTTTATTACAACATCTAAACACTCGTACAAAGACACTAACACACAGTCAGAGGGGAAATGCCTCAACGGATGCATTTGTAAGGGCAAGGAACTTGTTTTCCTGCTTCAACTGTACACCTTCTTATGCAATTTTAGATTTATATTTTGAAATGAGCCGTCAGTGGAAATTCTTAACAGCCTTTTTTTAAGGTTTGCTGCCATCAGCTGTGACAGGAGGCACAGGGATTGTACATTTCCAAAAACTTTCACAGCCCTTTGCACAGGGCTGTGTTTGTCACCAGAAAATAAACAGCGTGTTGACGAAGCACCAGTCGGGGGATATGTTCTAGCCAAACAGAGGGCATAAGTACGGCAGGCAACATGTTTCCCTTGATGTACACAAAAACTACTGATTCTATCACGGTCTGCATTCATGCAACTTGCCACTTGGTTGGGTTGAAATGTTATTTTTATGGTTAAGGAAAATCAAGCATGGATAAATATGGAGATCTCTGAAAGCCAGAAGTCAAAGAATTGAGCTTTGAACTGTAGATCAGTGGCTTTCAAAGTTTTTTAAATCATGCATGTTTGAAAACCTGATATAAAAATGTAAAATCTAAATGTTGCCTCAAAGCATGACAAAATGTTTTTAGTATAAATTTCTGAATTTTTCATAGTTCCCATTAATGATAACTCTTAATTTT